TGGCCTGCCTGCCCCACCTTCTGAGCACATGCACGGTTGCGCAGGGCTGATCAGGGGCAGGGAGGGGCTGTACTGGGCAAGGCAAGGGGGCAGGGGGAGGTTGAGCAGAGAGTGCGTCTCTGGGGAAAAATGGCTTTGCACTGTCACCTGTGTAGGTAAAACTGGAAACTCAGAGGGACCTGAGGTGGGCTTGGGCTGGGCGGGCTCCTGCCCAGCCAGACCCTGGGCCCTTTGAGGTAACTGAATTACCTATGCAGGGTGATGTGGCAAGACACAGTCTAAAGCCTACTGTGACAGGAAGGCCACACAGGCCCCCTGCAGCATGAGAGTGGTTTTACCATTGTGACCCCTGCAACCCATCAAGCTCTGCCCATGAAGCCAGGTACCAAAAGGTCCAACTTGTCCACTCTTCAACTCACTGACCAAGACTGGTTGGAATTTGAAGAGTTCAGTGATTTCCTCTAGGGACAAAGTGATCCTTAAATTGTTTCATCATGGTCATTTTTCCCCTGTTAGATTAATATATATGGGCTTACACCCTACTGCTTTTTGCTTCTGGGGATGTGAGATAATGTTGACTTCCTACAGTGTTTTTGGACCTGTCAAAACTTTCATAACCTTTGGCCAATGACAGCCAGGGGTCAAGAGCTTTATCGCCTCAGCTCTGCGACTTCCCAATATTTCACACCCCAAAAATTGCCTATAAGGTATCCTAGGTGACTTACCTAGGGCCTTATCCAGGCAGCGAGAAATCAGAGGAAGGCAGTGCTGGCACCCCTTGCATTGAGTGTAAGGGTGCTACCTAATCAAATGTCCAACACAAAAAAGGGGGGAAGAAAAAAGGCTGCGCGCCCTTGAAGGCTAACCTCAAAGGAAATTTATTACACACCATAGACAGTTATAAGCCATCGGAGACATGACAATCCTGCATGATAGAGGACCCCCCCCGCCCCCAGAGATATCAAGAGGGGACCCTCAAGGATTGACCAGGGATAGAAATGGTCCACTGGGAGTAACCCAACCCTCTTGTGGGTCCTTGTGGGGGTATTGGGGGGTTGAGAGGTCTGGTGGGGTTAGTCTACTGAGACTAACCCAACCCTCCAACACCCAACCCCAGTCACAATCCACCCAACCAGCCTTTCAACCCCCCAATACCCCCACAAGGAACCACAAGACACCCCTCCCCTAGATGGAGGACCCTCCTGTCTCTGGGGGGGGTCCTCTGTCATGCAGGATTGTCATGTCTCCGGTGGCTTACAACTATGGTAATACATTTCCTTTGAGGCTAGCCTTCTAGGTGTGCAGCCTTTTTTCATCCCCCTTTATTTTTATTCCCCCCAGAACATGGTGAGTAGTCTTGTCTCTGCACCCTAAGACAGCCTGTAGTGGGGTGGAGCCTGCTGAGCCCCTCCCACAGCTCTGCTATCCCCCATAGTACACAGTGAGTAGTCTTGTCTCCACTCCCTCTTGGTGTTTTCTGCAGGCAGTCTGTGGTGGGTGGAGCTGTCTGGCCCCTCCCTCAGCTATGCTCTATGCACATGCCAGGGGTGGACTGACCATTTGGAAACTCGGGCACTGCCCGAGGGCCTGGGGTCAGTAGGGGGCCCCTTGAGATGCCCGTGGCACCTTTTTCATAGGCTTTTTTGAGTTTGGGCAAGGACACAGGGGCCCCATGATCCCCTATTGCCCGGGGGCCCCATGAGTTGTCAGTCCGCCCCTGGCACATGCTATGTACAGAACAATGATGATGTCACTGCTACTTTTACAAGGTAATATCTGTGTTTCCAGAGGCATCTGGTGCACACAAGGTGGATTGATATCCTTTGTGGCTGCCGCAGCATATGTCCAAATGAAGGTTTTCATTCCCAGAGTTCAGCTGTAATCACTGTGATTCAGTGAAATCATAGATTACATATGTGCGCAGAAAGATGGGGGCCAGACACGCGTGCGCGGCTATGCTGCAAAGGAAGGTAAAATGAAAACACAAAGAGAATCCAGATGGGCGCGAGGTGCGCGGAGGAATAATTGAGGATTACTATAGATACATTGTAATTGCAGAGTTAAATAAAACATGGATGAGATTTAATTACATCTGCGTGAGAGCAAACAGATTCCGGCGACATATGATCGTCTGTTTGTGGCGCACATTGCGTCTTTTATGGCTGCGGAATCTGTTTCCACGTCTGGATCGGTGAATAAGCACAGAGGACTATGGGGACAGAAATGGGGGGGGGGGGGGGTAGGGATGGGGTGGCTGTGGGCCCCTCGTTTCATTACATCGCCTCTATTGCATACAGCAAGGACTGCTAACCGATTATGTAGAGGTGACATTTTTATTACGGGAGGGGAAGTTCTGCAAACAAAAAAAAATGTAAAAACCACGACACGGTACGGTCAGTAGAGAGGGGTACTGGCTTAATTCTGGTGTGGAGACCCTAAAACCAGCACACAGAGGGCGGAGGAGGGGGGGGAGAGAAGATTAAGTCTTTAGTTATGTTTTCTATCTCTCCAATCTGAGTGAGGTGTATGGAGACAACGGATAACATGGTATGGGGCTCAGTCTAATTACATGGTGGGAAGCATACAGAGACATCTGGTGACATTGCATGGGGTTCAGTCAAGTTGGCCGGTAGGAGGCATATGGTGACATTGTATGGGGTTCAGTCTAGTTGGCCGGTAGGAGACATATGGTGACATTGTATGGGGTTCAGTCTAGTTGGCCGGTAGGAGGCATATGGTGACATTGTATGGGATTCAGTCTAGTTTGGCTGGGTAGGAGGTGTATGGTGACATTGTATGGGGTTCAGTCTAGTTGGCTGGTAGGAGGCATATGGTGACATTGTATGGGATTCAATCTAGTTGGCCGGTAGGAGGTATGGTGACATTGTATGGGGTTCAGTCTAGTTGGCTGGTAGGTGGTGGTGACATTGTATGGGGTTCAGTCTAGTTGGCCGGTAGGAGGCATATGGTGACATTGTATGGGATTCAATCTAGTTGGCCGGGTAGGAGGCGTATGGTGACATTGTATGGGGTTCAGTCTAGTTGGCCGGTAGGAGACATATGGTGACATTGTATGGGGTTCAGTCTAGTTGGCCGGTAGGAGACATATGGTGACATTGTATGGGGTTCAGTCTAGTTGGGCCGGTAGGTAGGAGGTATATGGTGACATTGTATGGGGTTCAGTCTAGTTGGCTGGTAGGAGGCATATGGTGACATTGTATGGGGTTCAGTCTAGTTGGCTGGTAGAAGGTGAGCGTATGATGACATTGTATGGGATTCAATCTAGTTGGTCGGTAGGAGGTGTAAGGTGACATTGTATGGGGTTCAGTCTAGTTGGCTGGTAGGAGGCATATGGTGACATTGTATGGGGTTCAGTCTAGTTGGCCGGTAGGAGGCATATGGTGACATTGTATGGGGTTCAGTCTAGTTGGCCGGTAGGAGGCATATGGTGACATTGTATGGGATTCAATCTAGTTGGCCGGTAGGAGGTGTATGGTGATATTGTATGAGGTTCAGTCTAGTTGGCCGGTAGGAGGCGTATGGTGACATTGTATGGGGTTCAGTCTAGTTGGCCGGGTAGGAGGCATATGGTGACATTGTTTGGGGTTCAGTCTAGTTTGCTGGTAGGAGGCATAAGGTGACATTGTATGGGGTTCAGTCTAGTTGGCTGATAGGAGGCGAGGCGTATGGTGACATTGTATGGGATTCAGTCTAGTTGGGCCGGTAGGAGGTGTATGGTGACATTGTTTGGGGTTCAGTCTAGTTTGCTGGTAGGAGGCATAAGGTGACATTGTACAAGGAGTCAGTTGAGTTGAATGGCAGAAGGCATGTGTAGAAACTGCAAGACTCAGCCCAGTTGAATGGCAGTAGGGAGAAATCAGAAAACATTGTATGGGGCTCAACCTAGTTGATTGGCAGGATGTATATGAGGATATTGTATGTAACTCAGGCTAGCTGAATGGCACAAGGCGTACAGAGACATCTAGTGACATTGTATGGGGCTTACTATGCTAGAATGGGAGGAGGCATATGAAGACACTTGTATGGGGCTCAGTCTAGTTGACTGGTAGGAGGCGTATGGAGACATTTTATGTGCCTAGTTGAATGGCACAAGGCGTATGGAGACATCTGATGATATTGCATGGGGCTCAATCTAGTTGAATGGCAGGAGGCATATGGAGACATTTTATGGGGCTGATTCCATTTGAATGACAGGAGGCATATGGAGACATTTTATGGGGCTCATTCCATTTGAATGACAGAAGGCATATGGAGACATTTTATTGGGCTCAGTCTATTTGAATGGCAGGAGGCATATGGAGACATTTTATTGGGCTCAGTCTATTTGAATGGCAGGAGGCATATGGAGACAGTTTATGGGGCTCTGTCTGTTTGAATGGCATAAGGTCTATGGAGACATTTAGTGACATTGTATGGGGCTCACTCTGGTTGACTGGCAGGATGTATATGAAGACATTTTATGAGGCTCAGTCTAGTTGACTGCTAGGAGGCGTATGGAGACATTGTACAGGAGTCAGTTGAGTTGAAGAAGGCTTGCGCAGAAACTGTACGAGACTCAGTCCAGTTGAAGGGCTGTATGGAGACATCAGATAACATTTTATAGGGCTCAGTTCTAGATGATTGTCAGGATATATGTGAGGAGATTGTACAGAGCTCTTCCTAGTTGACTGGCGGAAGGCATTAGAAGACATTTTATGGGGTTAAGTCTAATTGAATAGCACAAGGCATATGGAGACATCTGGTGGCATTGTATGGGGCTCACTCAGGTTGACTAGTAGGAAGCATATGAAAACATTTTATGGTGCTCAGTCTAGTTGAATGGCACAAGGCGCATGGAAACATCTGGTATTATTGTATGGAGCTAACTCTAGTTGAATGGCAAGAGCAGGGGCAGACTGACAACTCATGGGGCCCCGGGCAATAGGGGATCATGGGGCCCCCAGTGTCCTTGCCCAAACTCAAAAAAGCCTATGAAAAAGGTACCAGGGGCATCTCATGGGGCCCCACTACTGACCCTGGGCCCTCGGGCAGTGCCGAGTTTCCAAATGGTCAGTCCGCCCCTGGGCAGGAGGCGTATGGAGACACAGCTCACTCTAGTTGACTGGTAGGAGGAATGAAGACATTAATGGGACTCACATAGAGTTCCAACACCTTCCTGTATGTTCACGCACATCCAGCCTCTGACTGGCCAAGACTGAGCCTCCTAATCTGATTTTGGAATTACCGCCTTGCTCTTTTCCTGGAAACTCACTAACACAGAGCTAGTTTCAAACTACCACATCTCCCTTACGTGTTCTTAGGTGACAACACTGCATCTCCATAGATACAGTACAGCATCACTAAGTGAAAACAAAGATAATAAATATGTGAAAGCTAAAGCAGCCACCATATCTAAGTTCATGTGGGCTGTTTATATATGACATTTTATTTGGGGCTAGATACGCTGCAACTGAATTCAGACTAAAATGGCTCTTAGGAGGTTGTGTGTGTGATTGTGTGTTTGCATGTGCGTATGCGAGTAAGCTTCTGATGGAGTGAAACGCGTAGGGGAGCAGGTGGATTCCCCCTCTATCAGATGTTATTAGTAAACATATTCTAGACCTTTGGAAGTTGAGTGGCTCCATCTGTTTGTCTTTTTTGGATATCAGCAGATCACGGACTGTGTAAGGGACCGCCCGGCCGGGGTACCACTAGCACTTCACCGATCAGGCGTCCCTAACGCACGGAATCGAAGCCCCAGAGTACTTGTTCACCAGGGCCCCCTGATGGTGGGGATGGACTTGGAGTACCCTGAGACCAGGTCGTGGCTACTGAGGACACCCGTCAGTTGTAGGGGTATTCGCCAGGGGCTCCCACGGGGAAGAGCCTGATATGAGGAGGTCGGGGAGACCCCGTTGGGATGGATGGATAGATGGCTGAGCACGTACAGGGTCAGGCAGGCTGGGTCGGTAACTATGGGGACGGTGTGGTACAAAGCAGCGGGCAGAGAGATAGTCGGGTCACACGCCAGGTCAGCAACAGGTCAGGTCCAATAGGGGACATCCAGGAGAGAGGTCAGGCAAAGCAAGGGTCTGGGCAGGAGAATACAGCAGTGTCAGGTACAATCCGGGTCAGCAACTTACAAGAAACAGGTTCGCAGATACAGGATAGACCAGAAGGCACTGAATGACAGCTCAGGGCCGTTTAAATATCGCGCCCTGCGCTGTCATTGGTGCCAAGGCGCGCGGCAGTGGCCTCTACTGCGCATGCGCGAGCTCGATCGCCGCGGTTGGCCAGGCCCTAGTGCCCGTTGTCCCTGCATAGGGCGGTGCACTGCGCCTGCTGCTGAGACCAGCGTCATGGTGATCCCCGACAGACTGTTTCGGAGCCTGCTTCCTGCAGACGTGTGAGTGGTGAGGGAAGCTTTGAGAGGAGCAGTTAGGTGTGGTATGGCTGTGTATGTGTGTGCACATGTGTGTGCATGTGGGGAGGTGAAGCACGGTGCGACAGAAAACACATGGAGTCCAGGTTGCAGTAAAACTTGGGACTTGTATTGAATAGAATGCCAAGATTGCAAACACCCTGGTGGGAGAGAGCGACGTGAGGGAAATAACTCACAGATCAATGTAGTCAGATGTGGCCGAGGAGAGGTGCCGACAGCGTCTGTTCGAAGGGTAAAGTGTGGCCTGGTCAGTCCTGTCTCAAGAGAGAGGGCTTCTGAAGGTGAGCAACTCCCAAACCTTTCTCTCCCCACCAGGAACCGTTCCCTAATGCTAGCTGCTGTCTCTGACACGTGGGGTGTCTCTCCTGACACTAGCCACTCGCACAAAGTATGCTAATCCCCGAGGCAAGGGATTAAATAGACCTTGCTGACCCAAGATGGCCGTCCAGAGTCACATGACTGCAGCATAGTCACCTGTTATGCTGCTCCATTGACCGAGAAAACCATAGAGAATTCCAAGTTTCCCTTGAGCTTCATCTCCAGGCTGCAAGATCACTTGAGTCGTGCGCAACCTACAGTGAAGAAAACGAACTGCACCTACATATGTACACATGCGTGTGCTTGTCAGGGATCAGCAGCAGGGGTGACCAGATCTGCCTGGCTACACTGAGGAAATTGAGGCCAGAGTGTGTACGCTGTAAGTAAGATTTATTACAGTGAAACCAAAATCCATCCAAACCAGCAAACCTGAAGATACAGGTGAGTAATAAACCGAGTGACAAAATACCGAACAACTAACTGCAAAATGAGGAACACAGTTTACATGAAGTAGCGGAGATGCAGGGAGGGGGGGGGGGGGGGGGAGCCAGGACTGAAATCAGGAACAAGGAGAGCTGATACCAGACAGGAGCAAGACATTCATCTGTCTGGCAGTCAAAACACTGACACTGTACTAGTAAAGGAGGGACTAAATACCCTCCCAGCAGCCAGCATCAGGAGGAAACTGGTTACTGGGATCTTCTGGCTGCTGGGAGACACTTGCTGGTGGACATTGGAACTACAACCCTCTGTCCAAGCAGCCACAGTACCAACAGCAGGTGATCCAGATCCTGACTGCGCTCTGCACGTCTGTGAGTGCATGTATGTGCATGCGTGTGCTTCTGCGTGTGCGCTTCTTAGGTGCAGGGATTTATGAGGGTGAGAATTCCACATTTCCTGTAAGGATGAGTATTACGGAGCCCCACCTTGCAGCAAGGTACAGATTACATACAGATCGGTTTAATAAACTCAGCCCCGTGCTTCTGTTTAATCCCTCTGCTGCGCTCGGCCCCCCCACAGCCCCCTCCACCACCAGCAGAAGGGATGGACGACGGATGATAAAGCATCAGCGAGCTGTAACTAGAAAAGCCAGACTTTATCTGGTATGTGGACACCAACCTTGCTTGGCCTAAACCTGGTGTTTAATAGTCACATAGCTTCTTCCAAACATATGTTCCCATAATCCCCTTATCTCCTGCTCATTATCGCTGCTTTGAAATGTCCATCAGCAGGCGCGTGCTGAGGCTTCTCTTGCCAAATGTGTTTTCCTCCTTTGCACCTGGCTGGGGCCGGGAAGGCGCAGGGATGATAAATGGTGCGTTGTCTCCCATCCTCACAGCAGTTTACAAGGCTGGCTGAATACGACTTTGTGCATGTTAAGTGCTGGGAGCACCGGGAGAAGACATTTGCAGCAGGAGCACCGGGAGAAGACATTTGCAGCAAGAACACCCGCATTAGAGTAGATGAGGAGTCTGCGGTGTGAACCTTCATCCCACTGGGTGTAAAATGGCCTTGGCCTTCCTCCTGCTACATTATGCATTCCGTTATCCCTGGAAATCCCTCATACAGTGCAGGAATGCCTCCATCGCAGCCTCCGAGTCAGGAGAGCCAAGTGTTCCGGCAATTTGTTGCAGTCTATAATAAATGCGGCAATGTACAGCGTGATGGCAACCTGCCCGAGCGTTGCTTCAGCTACACATGAGCAGTATTATGGCCGATGGAAACCCCCACACACCCACACCCAGGGCCGCTGATAGACTATTGCACCCTAGGCAAGACCAGCTACCTCGCCCCCCCCAAAAAAAAAAAAGTAAACTTTTAAAAACAGCATATGAAAAGTATGTATGGGGCTCAGTCTAGGTGAATGACACAAGGAGTATGGAGACAGCTGGTATTATTGTATGGAGCTAACTCTAGTTGAATGGCCGGAGGTATGAAGACATTAACCCCTTCCAGTCCGGACACTTTCCCCCCCTTCCAGTCCGGACGCTTTCCCCCCCTTCCAGTCCGGACACTTACCCCCCCTTCCAGTCCGGACGCTTACCCCCCTTCCAGTCCGGACGCTGACCCCCCCTTCCAGTCCGGACGCTTCCCCCCCTTCCAGTCCGGACGCTTCCCCCCCCCTTTCCAGTCAGAACGCTTCCACCCCCTGTTCCAGTCGGAACGCCTTCTTCCCCCCCATTTCCAGTCCGGACGCTTTCCCCCCCCCTTCCAGTCCGGACGCTTACCCCCCCCTTCCAGTCCGGGACGCTTCCCCCCCTTCCAGTCCGGACGCTTCCCCCCCCCTTTCCAGTCCGGACGCTTACCCCCCCTTCCAGTCCGGACGCTTCCCCCTTTCCAGTCCGGACGCTTTCCACCCCCTTTCCAGTCCGGACGCTTTCCCCCCTTCCAGTCCGGACGCTTCCCCCCCCTTTCCAGTCCGGACGCTTCCCCCCCCTTTCCAGTCAGGACGCTTCCACCCCCTTTCCAGTCCGGACGCTTCCACCCCCCTTTCCAGTCCGGACGCTTCCACCCCCTTTCCAGTCCGGACGCTTTTCACCCCCCTTCCAGTCCGGACCCTTTCACCCCTTCCAGTCCGGACACTTTCACCCCCTTCCAGTCCGGACACTTTCACCCCTTTCCAGTCCGGACACTTTCACCCCCTTTCAGTCTTCCTGTCAGGAATGGACTTGCCAATAGTGGTGGGACCTCACCTGCCTTGTGGGCTGCAGTACCAGGGCTGGCCCAGCGGGTGCTCTCAACAACCAGAGGTTCACTTCGGCAATTAGCCATCACCTGGGGCTGATTGCAGGTGTATTTAAGGGATGGCCAGACCTGCAGTCTGGGCCTTGGTGTGTGTTTTTCCATGGGCCCCTGTATCTTGTTACCTGCATTCCTGTTCCTGTTTCTGCCTGACTTGTTGCCGACCCCTGCCTGATCCCTGACCTCTGCTGACTTCTCCTGTTTTGATCCCTGGCTGCTGTTTGGTTTGTTGACCCGACCATTCTCTGCCTGACCCCCTGTACCTACCTGCCCCGATAGTTATCGACCCGGCCTGCCTGACTACGTTGTTGTGCTCTATATGTGTATGTACCTGTGTATCTGTATCAGTTTAGGTTTGGGTTCGTTTCACCTTGTTGTATGTATTTGTGTTAGCTTGGGGTTTGTTGTATGTATTTGTGTTAGCTTGGGGTTTGTTGTATGTATTTGTGTTAGCTTGGGGTTTGTTGTATGTTATTTGTGTTAGCTTTAGGGGGTTTGTTGTATGTATTTGTGTAGCTTGGGGTTTGTGTATGTATTTGTGTTAGCTTGGGGTTTGTTTGTATGTATTTTTGTGTTAGCTTGGGGTTTGGTGCACTGCGCTTATATTTGTATTGTTAGTCTCAATAATTGTTGATTTTATAACATATCTGAAGCCTGCGTTTCCCTGTGTCAGTCCACACACTTACTGGTCACACCCACATCTCTGACACTTCCAGTCCGGACACTTTGCCCCCCTTCCAGTCCGGACACTTTTCCCCTTCCAGTCCGGACACTTTCACCCCCTTCCAGTCCGGACACTTTTCACCCCCTTCCAGTCCGGACACTCTTTTGTCCCCCCCTTCCAGTTCGGACACTTTCACCCCTTTCCAGTCCGGACACTTTCCCCCCCTTCCAGTCGGACACTTTCTCACCCCCTTCCAGTCCGGACACTTTCACCCCCCCTTCCAGTCCGGACACTTTCACCCCCCCCTTCCAGTCTGGACACTTTCACCCCTTTCCAGTCCGGACACTTTCCCCCTTTCCAGTCCCGGACACTTTCCCCCTTTCCAGTCTGGACACTTTCCCCCCCAGTCCGGACACTTTCACCCCTTTCCAGTCTGGGACACTTTCACCCCTTTCCAGTCCGGACACTTTCATCCCCCTTTCCAGTCAGGAATGGACTTGCCATCTGGTGGGACTCACCTGCCTTGTGGGCCAGTACCAGGTACACTGGCCAGCGCGGTGCTTCCAACCAGAGGTTCACTTCCCCCCTTCCAGTCCCTGGACACTTTCCCCCCCCCTATTCCAGGGGATTGGCCACACTTTCACCCCCCTTGGTGTCCGGACACTTTCCATGGGTCCCCTTCCAGTCTTGGACACTTTCCCCCCCTTTCAGTCCGGACACTTTCCCTCCCCGACCCTGCCAGTCCTGACCTTTCACTGACTTCTCCGGTTTTGATCCCTTCCAGTCCTGACATTTCTCTGCCTGACCCCCTGTCCACCTGTCCGATAGTTAAGACCCCCCAGTCCTGACACTTGTGCTCTATATGTGTTTACCTGTGTATCTGTATCAGTTTAGGTTTGGGTTCGTTTGCCACCTTGTTGTATGTATTTGTGTTAGCTTGGGGTTTGTTGTATGTATTTGTGTTAGCTTGGGGTTTGTTGTATGTATTTGTTTAGCTTGGGGTTTGTTGTATGTATTTGTGTTAGCTTGGGGTTTGGTGCCCCCCTTCTGTGTTTATGTTTGTATTGTTAGTCTCAATAAATTGTCTGATTTATAACATATCTGAAGCCTGCGTTTCCCTGTGTCAGTCCACACCCTTCTGGTCACACCCGCATCTCTGACACTTCCAGTCCGGACACTTTCCCCCCCTTCCAGTCCGGACACTTTGCCCCCCTTTCCAGTCCGGACACTTTGCCCCCCTTTCCAGTCCGGACACTTTCCCCCCCTTCCAGTCCGGACACTTTCCCCCCTTCCAGTCCGGACACTTTGCCCCCCTTTCCAGTCCGGACACTTTGCCCCCCTTTCCAGTCCGGACACTTTGCCCCCCCTTCCAGTCCGGACACTTTCCCCCCCTTCCAGTCCGGACACTTTCCCCCCTTCCAGTCCGGACACTTTCCCCCCCCCCCTTCCAGTCCGGACACTTTCCCCCCCTTCCAGTCCGGACACTTTCCCCCCTTTCCAGTCCGGACACTTTCCCCCCCTTCCAGTCCGGACACTTTGCCCCCCCTTCCAGTCCGGACACTTTCCCCCCCTTCCAGTCCGGACACTTTCCCCCCCTTTCAGTCCGGACACTTTCCCCCCCTTCCAGTCCGGACACTTTCCCCCCTTCCAGTCTGGACACTTTCCCCCCCCCTTCCAGTCCGGACACTTTCCCCCCTTCCAGTCCGGACACTTTCCCCCCCTTCCAGTCCAGGACACTTTCCACCCCCTTCCAGTCCGGACACTTTCACCCCCCCCTTCCAGTCCGGACACTTTCACCCCCCCTTCCAGTCCGGACACTTTCCCCCCCTTCCAGTCCGGACACTTTCACCCCCTTTCTCCCCCAGGCCAATTTTCAGCTTTCAGCGCTGTCGCACTTTGAATGACAATTGCGCGGTCATGCAACACTGTACCCGTATGAAATTTTTTATCATTTTTTTTGGGACAGATAAAACTTTATTTTGGTGGTATTTATTCACTGCTGGGATTTTTATTTTTTTTGCTATATAAATGCAAATGTTCAAAAATTTTGAAAAAGTGTTTTTCTTATAAAAGTTTGCAAATAAATAATCTTTCTTCATAAATCTCGGCCAAAATGTATTCAGTTATCTTTTTAGTAAAAAAAAAAATAACCCAAATTAGTTTATAACCAAAAATTATAATTTTTCTAATTTTTTTTTTTTTACATTTTTATTTTTATATTATTATTTATGTTTTTTTTTTTTAACATACCGTCACCCTAGCAGTGTGGGGTCACCATGGTAACACTGTACTACTTGTGGGGGGTGATGAAGATTTTTTTTTTTTTTTTTTTACACTGATTGCTTTTACACCCATAAAGGCTGTAAGAGGAATAATTTCTCCTTCTCTGTGATTGGTCACAGCTTGTCACATGGTACAGGACTGCTGTGAATGGCCCTGTACCATGTGATCTCTGTAATCATTCACAGATTTCACACGTAGTAAGCAATTATGTCAGAAGTGACATCTTGCTTACTACTATTCATGCGATCACTGATTTGCCAATCAGTGATCACATGATCGGGACCTTACACAGAGGTCCCGTACAGCGATCGGTGCTCCCAGGGAGCGCACACAGGCTGTAAATGCAGGCGCCATTTATGAACGGCAACCCGCTCCTGCACTGCTCCTGTCTGGCCATTTATGTACAGGGGGGCCGGATGGGAAGTGGTCAATGGGACTCACAGAGAGTTCCAACACCTGGAGGGTCCCGGTTGAGGTTTATCCATGGAGGAGGTGATTGCAGAGATCTTATCTTAGTGGGTACTAACATTGCCTGGGTGGAGAGACTGTTAAGAGAAGATGGCTTGCATAAAGTACTGCATATGCTTTCACATGTGACTACTGCGGACCATCCACTAAATGTGGTTGACTGTGTAATGTCAAGTGACTGTTTGTTATTTTCCAAGTACCACCAGTAAAGTGCAGCAACTATATATTTATGTGAGGATATTCCTTCCTTTGGGGATATAAAGGTCAACATTTGGGGATGTCTCTGGCATGGAGTGGGCGCAAGATGGTGGAGGGTACAGCCTCAGCAGGAAGATCACTGTTCTAGCAAGAAGAGGAGAGAGAGAGAGGCGGGGAATTGTACCTTAGGCTCCAACTTCCAGCCAATTGCAAGACCTTTTCAGACTTCATCTTGAGTAAGGACAGATGAGTCATGCAGCATTTACCTCCTATAATCCATCTGCCCCTAGCTCAGGCATACAGGCAGGAGGTTGTGCTTAGCTGAAAAAGTCCATCCTCCCTGGGATGTATGCAGGGCTTTTTTTTTTCAGAGAATAGGTGCAGGAACTCCCCCTTTTCGAGTCACCCCTTGTCTCCTTCCTGCACCATGTCTTGGTTCCACCCCTTACCTACCTACCTACCTACCTACCTACCTGAACTGCTCTTTTAGAGAATACAGAATTAAGTATCAATTTGTATGGAATTTGTTCATGATAACAAGAAAAAGCAGTAAAATAGATCCCCTGAAAGCCAGCAACAATGGACCACCTGCAACAAAATAACCCCCCAGCAACAATAGACCCCCTGGCGACAACAACAGATCTCCTACAGCCAGCATCAATAGACCCTCCAGCAACAATGGACCACCTGCAACAAACCCCCCCCCCCTCCAGCAACAAACCATCTGGACCCCCAGCAACAATAGACCCCTGGCGACAACAACAATCTCCTTACAGCCAGCCAATAGACCCTCCAGCAACAATGGACCACCTGCAACAACCCCCCCCCCCCCCCCCAGCAACAATGGACCATCTGCAACAAAATAACCCCCCAGCAACAATAGACCCCTGGCGACAACAACAGATCTCCTTACAGCCAGCACAATAGACCCCTCCAGCAACAATGGAACCTGCAACAACCCCCCCCCCCCAGCAACAATGGACCACCTGCAACAACCCCCCCCCAGCAGCAAAAGACCCCTGGCGACAACAACAGATCTCCTTACAGCCAGCATCAATAGACCCTCCAGCAACAATGGACCACCTGCAACAAAATAACCCCCCAGCAACAATAGACCCCTGGCGACAACAACAGATCTCCTTACAGCCAGCATCAATAGACCCTCCAGCAACAATGGACCACCTGCAAACACCCCCCCCCCAGCAACAATGGACCACCTGCAACAAGCCCCCCCAGCAACAAAAGCCCCTGGCGACAACAACAGATCTCCGTACAGCAGCATCAATAGAGCCAGCAACAATGGACCACCTGCAACAACCCCCCCCCCCCCCCCCCCAGCAACAATGGACCACCTGCAAAAACCCCCCCCCCCAGCAACAATGGACCACCTGCAACAAAATAACCCCCCAGCAACAATAGACCCCTGGCGACAACAACAGATCTCCTTACAGCCAGCATCAATAGACCCTCCAGCAACAATGGACCACCTGCAACAAACCCCCCCAGCAACAATAGACCCCTGCAACAACCCCCCAGCAACAATAGACCCCTGCAACAACCCCCCCCCAGCAACAATGGACCACCTGCAACAAACCCCCCAGCAACAATAGACCCCTGGCGACAGCAACAGATCCCCCTACAGCCAGCATCAATAGACCATCCAGTAGCTAGCAATGACCCCCTCCCTCAACAGCAGAGCCCTCCTAGGAACAAATGACCTCACAGCAACATAAGACCCACCCCCCAGCAACAAACAGATCCCCCACCATCAACAGTAGACCTCCCCAGCATAAAAATAATAGATCCCCTCCAGCATCAATAGATCCCCCAGCATCAATGGACCCCGCAGTACACCCCACCACCCCTCGCCATTACCTACATTTAGTGCTGGAGGAACTCCCCCGTACCCCCGCGTTCCTGCTGTAAAAAAGCCCTGCATATACGACATCATTTTGGCCTAGGCCAGAAACCAGGAAGTAACTGAAGAAATGTAAATAAATAAATAAACAAACAGTAAATCTAAATTCCCTTCCAATCTATTTAGTAATGATGGCAGCATAAGGATCACACGCAGTTCATGGATAGAGAGAATTTAGTTCTGCTTTAAAAGAGTGTGAAAAAAGAAAACAACTGCGGCCACCACATTGTAAGGACCTGGAAGCTGCCATGTAACACATTCATGTTCTTGTGTGTAGATACAAATGATTGCGTCTCATGTACTCTATATATATGGAAGTGAATCCATGAGATGTATGACGAGGAGGGACGATCCCAGAATCCGCTGATCTCTATAATCTGTTAATTGTCACACATTCCCCATAAGTGGCGGCTCCGGGAGGAGAACGGAGGGACCCCTCAGAGATGTCAGACGAGCCGCCTTTTCTCCCGCACCTCATCCAGCGCTAAGTGCTCCATTGTTGTTTTCCTCCGTAACATAATCGCCTGAAAGAAACACGTTTCACCCGCCTGTCCGGCCCCAGAAAGTGAAAAATCCAATACGTCTGGAGAGGGATCTATGGTGTGTGCGGAGCGGGGGAAGGGCACGCGGGTGGTGGGGGCCCATCGTATTGTAAAGGAGACCACCAACAATGTATGGAGGTAAGACAGGAGGAAGAACACTGAGACAGAAATATATCGGCTAAAGGAGCGAGGACGTCTGCGCAACGGGGCCCCAGGAGAACCGCAGGCTGCCATCACCTATACAAGGTACAGCGGAGGGGCCCCATGAGAACCGCAGGCTGCCATCACCTATACAAGGTACAGCGGAGGGGCCCCATGAGAACCGCAGGCTGCCATCACCTATACAAGGTACAGCGGAGGGGCCCCATGAGAACCGCAGGCTGCCATCACCTATACAAGGTACAGCGGAGGGGCCCCATGAGAACCGCAGGCTGCCATCACCTATACAAGGTACAGCGGAGGGGCCCCATGAAAACCGCAGGCTGCCATCACCTATACAAGGTACAGCGGAGGGGCCCCATGAAAACCGCAGGCTGCCATCACCTATACATGGTACAGCGGAGGGGCCCCATGAGAACCGCAGGCTGCCATCACCTATACAAGGTACAGCGGAGGGGCCCCATGAGAACCGCAGGCTGCCATCACCTATACAAGGTACAGCGGAGGGGCCCCATGAGAACGCAGGCTGGCATTACCTATACAAGGTACAGCGGAGGGGCCCCATGAGAACTGCAGGCCGCCATCACCTATACAAGGTACAGCGGAGGGGCCCCATGAGAACTGCAGGCCGCCATCACCTATACAAGGTACAGCAGAGGGGCCCCATGAGAACTGCAGGCTGGCATTACCTATACAAGGTACAGCGGAGGGGCCCATGAGAACCGCAGGCTGACATCACCTATACAAGGTACAGCGGATGGGCCCCATGAGAAACCGCAGGCTGCCATCACCTATACAAGGTACAGCGGAGGGGCCCCATGAGAACCGCAGGCTGCCATCACCTATACAAGGTACAGCGGAGGGGGGCCCCATGAAAACCGCAGGCTGCCATCACCTATACAAGGTACAGCGGAGGGGCCCCATGAAAACCGCAGGCTGCCATCACCTATACATGGTACAGCGGAGGGGCCCCATGAGAACCGCAGGCTGCCCATCACCTATACAAGGTACAGCGGAGGGGCCCCATGAGAACCGCAGGCTGCCATCACCTATACAAGGTACAGTGGAGGGGCCCCATGAGAACCGCAGGCTGCCATCACCTATACAAGGTACAAAGGAGGGGCCCCATGAGAACCGCAGGCTGCCATCACCTATACAAGGTACAGCGGAGGGGCCCCATGAGAACCGCAGGCTGCCATCACCTATACAAGGTACAGCGGAGGTGCCCCATGAAAACCGCAGGCTGCCATCACCTATACAAGGTACAGCGGAGGGGCCCCATGAGAATGGCAGGCTGGCATACCTATACAAGGTACAGCGGAGGGGCCCCATGAGAACTGCAGGCCGCCATCACCTATACAAGGTACAGCAGAGGGGCCCCATGAGAACCGCAGGCTGGCATTACCTATACAAGGTACAGCGGAGGGGCCCCATGAGAACCGCAGGCTGACATCACCTATACAAGGTACAGCGGATGGGCCCCATGAGAAACCGCAGGCTGCCATCACCTATACAAGGTACAAAAAAGGGGCCCCATGAGAATTGCAGGCTGGCATCACCTATAGAAGGTACAGCGGAGGGGCCCCATGAGAACCGCAGGCTGCCATCATCTATACAAGGTACAGCGGAGGGGCCCCATGAGAACCGCAGGCTGCCATCACCTATACAAGGTACAGCGGAGGGGCCCCATGAGAACCTCAGGCCGCCATCACCTATACAAGGTACAGCAGAGGGGCCCCATGAGAACCGCAGGCTGCCATCACCTATACAAGGTACAGCGGATGGGCCCTATGAGAACCGCAGGCTGCCATCACCTATACAAGGTACAGCGGAGGGGCCCCATGAGAACCGCAGGCTGCCATCACCTATACAAGGTACAAAGGAGGGGCCCCATGAGAATTGCAGGCTGGCATCACCTATAGAAGGTACAGCGGAGGGGCCCCATGAGAACCGCAGGCTGCCATCATCTATACAAGGTACAGCGGAGGGGCCCCATGAGAACCGCAGGCTGCCATCACCTATACAAGGTACAGCGGATGGGCCCCATGAGAACCGCAGGCTGCCATCACCTATACAAGGTACAAAGGAGGGGCCCCATGAGAATTGCAGGCTGGCATTCACCTATAGAAGGTACAGCGGAGGGGCC